CATCCNCTTGGCTTGCAGAGATGACAGCAAATAACAAGACAATGCATCTGGATCACACCTTCAGTCACTTCTAGTTACTTTCACATGCAAGAGAATTTTGCTTGCTTCTTTAAAATGCAGATCAGAGGAAAATTAATCTCATCAAATTGCTATTGCAGGAGATCAGAGGAGAATTAATCTGTCAATTTACTATTCTGTTTCTGGATAGGAAACTTGCTCTATTCCAGTCTTTAACAGATAGATAACTCAGAAGAACAAACAGAAATATTGCTTTATTCTGGGAATCCTAGACAAAGACTTACAGTTAGTAGAGGTGCATCCAAAATAAGTTTCAGCAATCTGGTTGTCCCACAGGTAAATTGACATTAGATTTTCCCCTCTTCTCCCAAGCGTCACATGGTGGGGTGATCGTGGAGTCTGCAGCCGTGTGGCTGCATGTGAATGGCCAAAGAACAAAGGAACTAACCCCAGGCTAGTGTCCAGGGATGCCCTTCTGAAGCTCCGCCCCTGACCCTAACCCCTCCCCTTGACCTGTTACATAGGAATACATAAAGTTATACAAGATACATAGAGTTATGGTTACATAGAGTTATGCAAGGTTACATGGATCCATGTGATCCAGAACAAGATCAATCCTCAAATCTTTCTCTCAGCCCTAGGAGGAAGAGGTGAGGGTCCTCCAACTCGGGGACTTGCTCATTATATAAATTGTCCAGCCATTCGGATGCTTCTCCCTCTAGGCTGGACACAATCACATCGACCATGGTCCCCGGGTCTGGGTAGAGATAGGCCCAGCAATTCAAATGACAACGCACTTGGTTGAGGAAAAAACCCAGCTTCTCTGGGTCCCCATCGAAGGTTGCTCTGAAAAGTGGTGCAATTATAAGCTGTTGGGGCCCCCACTGTGGCTGTTGCTGCTGGCCCCATCCCGGCTGCAGATTTATGCCCAGGGGTTGCATGTTCGGGGGCTGTGGCCAATCTCCTTGCTGTGGTCATTCTCCCACCAGCTGGTGATCTCTTGGCTTCTGCACCACCCCAAGCTATTGCAAGGCCTTTATTAGTTGCGGCAAGCTCAGAGGTCGTTGACCATCTACCCACTGGGGAACCCAATCTCCCCATTGCTGCAGAGGCCTCAGACTGGGATTCCTTCTTTCTTCAAGGTTGGAGTCCCTGGTAGGGGAAGACAGGATCTGAAAGGCTTTCTGATCTGCAATGGAAGGGCTGTAGGCTCCTCTCTGCAGGAATTGATTTCTGATTTTCACCTCTGGGTTTTGAAATCTTTCCAGTGACTCACCCAAAACCTGAGTGGCAAGCAATTCGTTAGCTCTCCACCATTCTGCTTTTGAAGTCTTTGCTCCCAGCTGGGAGATCTGCCAGAGTTCTTTCTCCCCTGGCTTGCCGGCTGTCGCTCCCCCCCGGGAAAGCTGCTGCTGCTGGGGTGCTGGCCTCAGGCAATCTTTCTTCTTCCATAATGAGATCTTCCCCGAATCTTCATCAGCCCATCCCTTTAGTTTAGGAACAGTGACTGGGGCCCAGGACCCCTAAATGGTTTGAAAAGTTTATAGATCTTGGCATGATGCCATAGTTCCGACTAATGAAACACTTCAAAGAACTTCCAGGTATTGTTTATCCTAAAAGCCTTTATTACAGTGTAACAGAGTGTCGGCATACCATGGATGGTTGTCAAGATCTGAATTTCCCTTCCTTTGCATATAACATTTTAGGCTATTCCCCTCCCCTATTTTGCTGTCATGATTCACATTTTCCAATCAAGCTGGAGGGTAAAGATTCACTTCCGTTCCCTTCCCATGCGCAGTCATTATCTTTCTCCTCCCCCCCACCATCATCTGAATTAACTCTAAAAATACCAGACAGTTCTGCATATCTTGTCAAAGCAATAATATCCAATATTAGCAGCGTTGACACTTTGGCTTTTACTATAGAATTCATTAGCTCAGTGGCTTCAAGAATTTTTTCAAGTATAAGTTTGTAGTTAATCTGTGGCTGGAATTCCTCTGTTTCTATAGTAGTTAAAGATAGTCTTTTAGTGGAAGCCATGTTTAGAAAGAATCAGTCAATTTCTACCTCCACAGTTTCTAGAAGTTGTTCTCACTGCCCAGCTGTTTCCAATTCTTATCTTTTTTGATAGTATGAAGGACAAATCAAGAAAGCCAACAAGCTTAACAATCAGAGAAATTCATTTGCTATGCCAAATTTTGCCACAAGATGTCCCCAGTAGGCTATAATTTTTTTTTTTCAAAACAGCAATTATGCTTTTATACAGTTAAAAAAAGAGAGGGTATTTTTCGGAGTTAAGATAGATAAAATGCTCAGTCTCTATAATAAAAACATTTAGGACCCCAAAGCATCCAAAAAGTAAAAATCCACTTATTTGGTTAAAAAAAAATAGTTATTCTTTTTTTTAGTTTCCATGCTTAAATTCCCAAGGTGTATAAATGCTGCTGTATTAAGAGCGGGGAAAAAATTTCAGAGGCTTTTACAGGAAGGTAGTGAGGGTAGAAGAGAGGAAAGGAAGGGTCTCACCCAGATCTTCCACGGTGCTTCGTTGTGCTTAATAGTGCTTTTGGCTTTTGGCTGGTGCAGCTAAATGATCGGCCATGTTGAGGGCCGGTCTTTTCCTCATTGATCCAAAGGAGCTGCCTCAGCCCAAGCGGGAGGGCTGCCGCCCTTCCACGCTCAAGCGAGGGTCCTCCTCAGCGGTGGTCGCCCCTCCAGGGCAAGTTTCGACCCTTTCCAGGGTCTTTCGATGAGGGAAAACCAGACGGCGGAGAGGAGACTGTGTCCGTGAGTCCACTAGCGCCACAAACCGGAACCGGAATCCACCTGCTATAAACTATTAATGCCAGAAAAAGAGACTCTGAAATGCTCATATAGTCTCATCACTGAGACTCATAGCCCTCATCAGGAGAAAGAATCAAGGCAAGTACAGCATCAGCTAATGCAACAAATTCAGATTCATAATAAGAAGTTTTATCACAAGACCAATTAAAATAAGCACATTCAGCATGGTCTATATGACAATTAATGCAGTGATAGCAACAACAGCACTCAACCCAACATTCGCAATCACAAAACTTATACACATGGTTTATCAAACAGATATGGTCAAGGGGCAAGGCAAACAACAAGCAATCCCAGCTCAAATGGTTGTAGCAGGGAATACTCAGTATTCAATTCGCCCCCCAAATTCTGGAGGAAGAGGTAAAAAGGATTAGACTGAGGAAGGGAGGTGTAAATGGTAACTGCACAGAGTAGGTTCAAGCACGGCCAGCACTTCTAAATACAAAAACTCAGGATAATAGCAATGCTTAAAACTCTCCAAGCAAAATCAGCATTAGAAGTGAATCAAAATATACTGCACAAGATCCATTAAGGCAAACACATCTTCTGCAAACAATAGTACAATAAATGCAATGATAACAGCAACAACAACCATGAAAACATACACAGTCACAAAGAAGACACATACTATGGTGGGTAGGAAAAGGCAAAGATAATAACCTTTAATAACAAAAAGACAATTTAAATAATATCTTACCACTTGTCGATGAAAGGATGAAGAACATTAGTTCAAAGCAAAAAGGCAACCAATAGCAACATGCAAAATTAAAAAAAAAACAGTAGCAAGAACATAGCAACTTCACAACAGAATTTCCCAACTATCAATGTTAACAGAACAACCTCATAAAATAGCATAACTACCTTCCTTGTCGAGTATCGTTACAGAGGGTGAATCACACCATCAAAAACGAGGCCACAAGACACAACATGAGGGCATGACCCTCACATGGGGTGCGATCTCAACCAATACAAGGGGGTGATCAGCCCCCAGGAACATCAGCTCCTCTTTGGGTCCCTGCCACAGACTTGATGATCCTGACAGTTTTGCCTCCAGGGCACGATAACTATCACACAAAGCACATCTGGTTGTGACCCTTCTCGTGCCACTGAAACGGGATGAGACAAACAGGGGTCCCAAAAAGGGGCACCTCCTTATCTCTGATCCAAAGTGGAAATGTGGGTACATGGAGAAAGAGCGGGCTGATTGCCTATGGTCCAAACCTGGGGATGGTCAGAAGCCCCAATTGGACAATAGGTTTCTTTCAGCTTCTGTCTCTTCCCAGCCAGCGCACCAAACTGTTGGGGGGAAATCCAGTGAAGAAAAGAGACAGCACATCAAAAGCATCTCACTTTAGAATTCAGAGGTTTACTTTATTGAAATTTAGAACACACATTAAATACTTAAATTCAACAACCCATTGCAATGAGGACCAGCTTTGGACTAGCAGTCATAGCAGTGACAGTTAGTGGCCAAGTGGCCTTGAACCAGGTCCACCATCAATATTTCATACCTTAATTGTCCCCTAAACCACATACAGATAGCCACTTGGACTCGCAATAACAAGGAATCAGTTCCTTGTACTTTCTCCTGACCACAATTTTCCACATAACCGTTCTTACATGTGTACATATGAAACTCGCATCCATCTGCTAGTTTCAGTTCCTTATTTCCCAGTATTCCAACCCTTATGTTCTAAATATACATATAAAACAGGCAACTTTGCAAAATTCTCTTGAGCAAGGCACAGTTACAATATTTCTTTTGAATTGTGAAACTAGCTATAGCACAAACTTCAGTATCGGTCCATGACACCTGGTTTGATTTGTCTAGGCCAGTGGTGGCGAACCTATGGCACGCGTGCTAGAGGCGGCACTCAGAGCCCTCTTTGTGGGCACATGTGCCATCGCCCCAGCCCCGCCTCCCCCCAGTTTTTGGGCACTCACTTTCTAAAAGGTTCGCCATCACTGGTCTAGGCCTTACCTAGCATACAAAACTATGGTACAGAATTTCTCCTTCCATATCCCTTATATGAAGAAGACTTAGCAATCAACCATGATTTTTTGTATTATATTTTCCTAGGTATCTTTTTATTGGAGAGGATTTTAATTAAAATCTTACCGTTTAACAATGATTTTAGGTATAAAGAGAACATTCAGCGTCTTTCAGCTCTTCATTTAGACAGACCTATTGAACCTCTTGATCTGGCAATTCATTGGGTGGAGTTTGTCATGAAGCACAACGGAGCTCCCCATTTGCGTCCAGCAGCTCATGACCTCAACTGGATCCAGTACTATTCTATTGATGTCATTGCCCTCCTTTCGGCTGCAACATTCCTTTTTCTGTTTATCTCACTGAAGGGTTGTCTGTTTTGCTGCAAGAAGTGTTTCTGCAAAAGTGTAAGACTAAGCAAAAAAGGCAAGTCAAAATCCCAATAATTAAAAAAATTCAAATCAAAATGAGGTAGGGCATTTTATTATTTTTTAAACAGATTTATACCAATTCGTGCACAACCCTTAACTTATAAAGAAAGTGTTCCCCTCAGTGGTGGGATTCAGCGGGTTTGCACCATTTCAGCAGAACCGGTAGCTAATTTTTTGTTGCTCAGGCCCAGAATGGACTTCCAGAAGCAGATCCACACAGAGAACTGGTTGTTCACATATTTGAATCCCACCACTGGTTCTTGTTTTTGTTGGTAAGTGGCAATGAAGCATAGAAAAGTGCTTTGATTGATGCCTTGATGCCTCCAATCAAAAGAATCAAGGTCAGCCACTTTGCTCTGCCTTACTTTGATGAAAATGCCATGAAAAGCCAGCATAACAGCTGTTTTGATTTTCCTAAAATTGGGCACAACTGTCTTTTGAATAACTAGATTAAAGGGTGTTTTGTCTATGGTTTGATTAAAATAAAGCACCTCTTGAACAGAACCTGAATCAGAATCTTCAGGTGATCTTTTAAATCAAGCAGAAAACACAAATCATTTGAATCATTTAAAGCCTACATTAACATATTAGAGGGAATTAACAGCCTGTAAGTATGTTTCACAATCCTATAGTTTGTGGAGCTCTTCAGAAATCAGCTTTATTTCTAATTTGTCTTCACTGTGAAGGACTGCAGGATTTAATAGATAATGAAAAAACTAGAAAGAATGATTAGATATAAAGAATGATAGATGGTTTTTCATCTTTAACTATTGCATGTGTAGGACATAGAATTTTCAGAAATGTAACTTAACATATGGGAAGGGGGGAGGGAGCAAATATAAAATTGTTTAGAGTAGAGTAGAGTAGAGTAGAGTAGAGTAGAGTAGAATAGAATAGAATAGAATAGAATAGAATAGAATAGAATAGAATAGAATAGAATCCCCTGCTCAAGAAGGAGAATCTATACCAGTGTTTCTCAACCTTGGCAACTTTACGATGTGTGGACTTCAACTCCCAAAATTCTCCAGCTAGCAACGCTAGCTGGAGAATTCTGGGAGTTGAAGTCCACACATCGTAAAGTTGCCAAGGTTGAGAAACACTGATCTATACCATTTCAGACAAGTGACTGTTTTGTCTCTTCTTAAAAACCACCAGGGATGGAGTGCCCATGATTTCTGAGGGTAAGCTGTTCCACTGGTTAATTGTCCTCACTGTTAGGAAGTTTCTCCTTAATTCCAGGTTGCTTTTCTCTTTGATCAGTTTCCAATAATTGTTTCTTGTCCTTCCCTCTGGTGCTTTGGAGAATAATTTGACCCACTCTTCTTTATGGCAGCCCCTCAAATACTGGAATACTGCTATCATGTCACCCCTATTTCTTCTTTTCTTTAGACTAGCCAAACCCAAGTCCTGCAACCCTTCTTCATATGTTTTACTCTCCAGGCCTTTGATCACTTTAGTTGCTTTCTCTGAACTTTTTCCAAAGTCTCAACATCTTTTTTATAGTATGGTGACCAAAATTGGTTGCAGTATTCCACGTGTGGTCTTACTAGGGTTTTATAAAGTGGTACTAATACTTTGCATGATCTTGATTCTATGCCTCTGTTTATACAACCCAGGATTGTATTAGCTTTTTTGGCTGCTGCTGCACAGTGCTGGTTCATATTCAAGTGATCATCCACTAGGACTCCAAGGTCGCTGTCACAGTTATTGTTTTTGAGCCAGATCTTGCCCAATCTGTACTTATACCTTTGATTTTTCCTGCCTAAATGTAAAACTTTGCTTTTCTCCACATTAAAACTCATTTTGTTGGACAGGGCCCATTGTTCAAGTTTGTCAAGATCTTTTTGGATCCTGAGCTTGTCTTCTGGGGTGTTGGCTATTCCTGCCAGTTTAGTGTCATCTGCAAATTTGATGAGTTCCCCTTCTATTCCCTCATCTAAGTCAACAATGAAGATATTGAAGAGTACTGGGCCTAAGATTGAGCCTTTGGTACCCCACTGCTTACTTCTCTCCATGTGGATGTAGTGCCATTGAGGACTACTCGCTGAATATGGTTTGTCAACCAGGTACAGATCCATCTGGTGTTGATGTTGTCTATTCCACTTTGTTCTAGCTTACCAAGCAGTAAGTTGTGGTCTATTTTGTCAAATGCTTTACTGAAATCTAAGTATACTATGTCCACTACATTTCGCTGGTCTACTAATTTAGTCACTTCGTCAAAGAATGAAATAAGATTGGTGACATAGTTTGACTGTTTTAAACAGACTAGTTATAACTTTGTTTGCTTCTAGTTGTTCGCAGATCTGTTTTTTGATTATTTTTTCCAGGATCTTCCCAGGTATTGATGTTAGGCTGATTGATCTGTAGTTTCCTGGGTCTGGTTCCCCCCACCCTTTCTTGAAGATGGGAACCACACCAGCCCTTTTCCAATCCTCAAGAACTCCCCCGGTGCTCCAGAATTTTTGAAAAATATGGTGCAATGGTTCTGAGATAACATCTGCCAGCTTCTTCAGAACTCTGGGATGTAATCTGTCGGGTCCCAGTGATTTATATTCATCAAGGTCAGATAGGTGTTCTCTTACCATTTTCTTGCCTATTTTAATTTTTGTTCCTAATTTGTCTTTTAGAGTAGGTTTCTTGGTATGTTGGCTATAATTTCTTTTTGTGTGAAGACTGATGCAAAGAATGAGTTAAGCAGCTCTGCTTTCTCCCTACTGCCTGTTACTTCCTTGCCATCTTCTCTCTTTAATGGACCTACAGTTTCCTTGGTTTTTTTCTTGTTATTGATATGTTGAAAAAAGTTTTTTTTTATTATCCTTGATTTCTATTGCAAGTCTTTGTTCATTCTGAGCCTTTGCTTTCCTGATTTCATCTTTGCATGTTCTGGCTGTCTGCTGATAATCAGCCTTAGTTATGTGTCCCTGTTTCCATTTTTTCTCCTTGTCCTTTTTATCTTTCAGTTTGTCAGAGAGATCTTTGTGCAGCCATGCGGTTTCTTCTTGGGTTTCTCGGTTTTTTTTCCCATTGGTGTTATGGTGGTCTGGGCTTTTATGATCGCATTTGTCAGTTTCCCACACTTCTTGAATTTTTTTTCCACTTTACAATTTTCATCCATAGAATCTTTTCTAGGCTCTCTCTGAGTTTATTAAAATCAGTTCTTTTAAAGTTTAAGACACTGGTTGGATTATTTTCTTTTTTTTGTAAAGTTTTTATTAATTTTTTCCATATAATTCAATAGTGCTTATTCAACAACATGTTGTCTGAGTTTATCATTCATTAATACAAATTTAATTCCTAATCCTTTATTCTTTTCTCCAGCCATTGATAAAACAAGTCCCAAGTCTGATAGTATTCTGTTTCTTCTTTTTCTTTAACCCCATAGTACAGGGGTGTCAAACTCAATTTCACTGAGGGCCACATCAGCATTGCGGTTGCCCTCGGGGGCTGGGTGGGTGTGGCCAGGGTGGGTGTGGCCTACTGGGTGGGCGTGGATGGAGTGGGTGTGGCCTACTGGGTGGGCGTGGTTTCGGCAGGCAGCGGGGCACTCTCCTCACAGCACCGAGAGGTTGAGCCGGGCAGTGCGAAGCTCGCCAACTTTGCACCTTGCTGCCTGCTGAAACTGAGCAGGCTGGGGGCTAGGCAGCATTGCACTTCTCATCAGATTTGCACCACCCAGCTCAGCTCTTGGCACTGTGAGGAGAGCGCCCCGCTGCCTGCTGAAAGCGGGCAGGCTGGGAGCTGGGTGGCCTTGCGTTTCTTTTTGGATTTGCGCTGCCCGGCTCAGCCTCTCGGTGCTGTGAGGAGAGCGTCCCGCTGCTGTTGAACCCCCTCCCCCAGAGCCCATCAAGTCAGATATGTGAAGTAGGCGAGGGCCATTTGTTGACCATTTCCAGGCGATGGTGCATTTCTTCATTCCTCATAAAGGGTGACACCTCCCCAACATGCACCCAGGGGGTGGGGCCGATGCGGCAGGGGCTGGTTCCTCACTGTTTCCAGATGGCCTTGTGGAGCTAAGACTGAATGCGCTTCAGCATAGATGGCCACCACAAAATTGTACATTGGCTCCCGGCCAGCCTGGGCCAGAGCCAAAGCAGCGGGGGCCGTTCCCTCACTATTTCCAGGGTGGCTTCGTGGGCCACATGAAACCACTTCGCGGGCCGCATCCGGCCCCTGGGCCTTGTGTTTGAAATGTCTGTCATAGTAAGTCTGTCCATTTCTGCACATTCTAATATTTTTTTAATTATTTCTTCTTCTGATGGTAATTTTTTCTTTTTCCAATATTGTGCAAATATGATTCTTGCCGTTGTTATCACATGTAAAATCAAATATATACTTTGTTTATCAATCTTTTCTGGCACAATACCTAATAAAAAAAGTTCCGGTTTAAAATCTATATGTTTTCCCAACATCTTTTCTAGCCAAGTATGTATTTTTTTCCCAGTACCTCTTTGCTTCAATACATGTCCACCATACATGATAATAAGTACCTGCCTTATGTTTACATTTCCAACATCAATCTGACATATTTTTAAACATTTTTGCCACTCTTGCTGGTGGCAAGTGCCATCTATAAAACATGTTATATAAATGTTCTTTATAAGAAACTGCCATTGTCAGTTTATAATTTCTTTCCCACAAGTTTAGCCATTTTTCTAATTTTACATTATATCCAAAGTTCTTTGCCCATGTTATCATTGTTTCTTTAACTTGTTCATCTTCCATTTTCAAATTCAATAAAAATTTATAAATTTTCTTACTTAGTTTCTTATCAGAGGTTAATGATATCTGATCAAACAAGGTCTGTTCTTTATAAAATCCATACAGTTTAACATCTTTATCATATCTAACTTGCATTAATAAGTATGTCCACCTTGATAGATCTACAACCTAATTTTCCATCTCTTGCTTAGATTTTAAATTCCCTTCAGAATTTAGAATATCTCTATATGTCCATATTTTCTCAAAGTTAACTAAATTTGAATGTATAAATGCTTCCATTGTTGAAAGCCATCCTG